TGTATCTGGTGGTGAAAGGAGAGTCCGATGCTGCAAAGATCTATACTCATAGGAACCTGGAATGTAAGATCCATGAATCAAGGCAAGCTGGATGTGGTCAAACAAGAGATGACAAGACTGAATATCGACATCTTAGGAATCAGTGAACTAAAATGGACAGGAATGGGTGAATTTAATTCAGATGACTATCATATATACTGTTGTGAGCAAGAATCCTTTAGAAGAAATGGAGTAGCCCTCATTGTCAATAAAAGAGCGGGGAAAGCAGTACTGGGATAGAATCTCCAAAATGAGAGAATGATCTCAGTTTGAATCCAAGGCTAACCATTCAACATCACAATAGTCCATGTCTATGCCCCAGCCACTGATGCTGAATAGGGTGAAACTGGACAGTTCTATGAAGACCTACAATACCTTCTAGAACTATCACCAAAAATGATGTCCTTGTCATCCTGGGTTATTGGAATGCTAAAGTAGGAAGTCAACGGATAACAGGAATAACAGGCAAGTTGGCAAAAAGAAGCAGCGCAAAGGCTAACAGAGTTTGTCAGCAGTTAAGGCTTTGTTTTTCTTTTAATTATTTTAATCTGGTATATTTTATAATCTTTATTACATTGCTAGATCGTTTGTCTGGAAACCTTGGCAGATACAATGTTTATTGCTGATTCTGTATATGGGCTGTTCTGCAACTTTAAAATATTCAAATATACAGGATGATATTATATTGCATTCTTTAACTGTTGGAAAAATATGGGGCTTGTAGCAAGCTTATATAGGATGTTTTACCATTCCATATGATGTAGGAAGATAATAAAATTCTGCTGAAGCTTATAGCAAATATTCCATTGGGTTCAATATGGAATTTTAACTTTTGGATTCATCATTCAGCTCAGTGGCACACCTACTTTGAACACTTTGAAACACAGATTTTCAAAATAGGTGCTTAATTAAGAGTTTGAACATACCATTCTACATTTTATGGTTTAATGCACAAGTAACATTTCAAAAAATGTTGAGGCCAACCATCCTTTCCCACAGGTTCCCTACCCAAAAATCAGTTTTTTGTTTTATGCCATTTCTAAGCCGATAGATGCCGCTTAGTGCTGCTGCTGTGACAGTCAGGAAGAGGCCAGTGTTGATGACCTTTAAGGGGAAAATCATATTTAAATAATACATTTTAAAACATTGCAATAGGAAAATATTAAGTTTGCAATCTTATTACTATTTGAGAAGTCAGGACTTCAATCTGACTCCTCAACTGGCTACTTCAAGCTGCAAAACTATATTACATATTAGTAAGCCTCACTGAATTCAGAGGCACATCTGAGTAGATGTGCATCAAATTGCACCTCAGATATTATCATCATCAATTTCTATACTGCTGCACACCTGAAGTTCTCTGGGCAGTTTATCATAAAAACAATATTAAAATTAATATAAAATTAATTTTAAATAATTTAAAATACAGTAAAAAGAACCTGCAAGGAATCATTCCCCTCAGGCCCCTGGATATCCAAGGGGTTCTTTAAAGGCCTCCACATGGAGGGCAGTCTTGACCTGGTGTCAAAAAAATGACAAATTTGGTACCAGGTAGGCCACCACATCTCAGTTTCATTGGCATTGGCATCCAGTGCACCATCTTACTGGATGAGTTTTAGCTATTGCAGCGCTAGGAGGTGGAAAGGGCGCTTGGTCAAGTCCATCCCATGACCTGTTCACTTGACCTGTGCCCATCTTGGTTAATTCAGAGATCAAAGGAGGGGATCCATCTTTGGAACCAGGAGGTGGTGATTGCCTCCTTGAGATAGGGAGTGCTAGCACCACTTCTTAAAAAGCCACACCTAGATCCAGAGAATGTAAAAAAACTATTGACCTATAGCCAATATCACCTTACTGGGCAAGATACAGGTCGTGGTTGGACAGTACCAAGCACTCTTGGAAGAAACAGATCATCTGGATTCATTTCAGCTTATAAGGATTGGGACATGGGCAGGTGGGCTGGAACAGCCAGAACACCAGGACCAGAGTGCCAGTGTAAAGCTAGGTCCTGGAGCTTAGTAAGGCTGGAGGTTGGTGGTATGGTCAGTAGTCCAGGGTCAGAGTCTAGGTAGTAGTCAGTCCAATATTATACAGGCAAGAGAAAGTGTGCACAGTCCAGAAACAGACTAGTGGTCTGATGCCAGAGAAGCAGTTGCATAAACATGGTCTGAACAAGAGAGGGCTGGAGCAGGGCAGGAAGTACTGGAGCAAGGAAGAGCATGCAGGATTGGGGCAAGGGCAGTCTGGGGCATGCAAGATTGGACTGGAGCAGGGTTCAAGGCATGGCAATGCAGAGGGCCAGAGCACACAAGAGTCTTAGTGCTTACTTGCATTGCTGTGGCAAAGAGCAGCAGTGCAAGGAAGCCTTTTATGCTGGTCTACAGGGTCTCCAGCAGCACTGTGTAATTGCTCCTCAGGTGTTCCTTGCAAGTGCCCACAAAGATGTTCCACTTGCATGGTGTTCAGGCCCTGCTCCTGACACAACTGGGCTTCAGACCTGATTTCAGAACAGAACCCAGTGGGATGACCTTTGCTAGAAGAGAGACATGGGGAACATGGAGCACCGTTGCTCTGCGCCTGTTGATTCTCCTGGATGTCAGGATCTGAAGCACATCCAAGGCTCCATCTACTGGCTTCAATATACTACAGCTACCAAGGCCCTCCTGAGCACCACCTGGGAGCCCTGGGAAAAGCTATATAAGAACTGGCTCATCCCTCCAGAAACTGCTTTGGCAATGAAGGTCTCTAGAATTGCTGCAGTGCTCCTTCCTCATTGCCAGCCCACAGGTACCTGCTGCTGTTTGTATTGCTTCTTCAGTTTCTTGACTCCTGGCATGCTGATTATATTTTCTCCTCTTGGACTGAATTTACCTTGCTTTTTAACTCCTGGCACTGCCTTTGGACTGATTGATAAAGATCTGGATTTGTTTGGGATTGGACTTTGGTTCCAGTCTATTTGCCTGGCTACTGGTGCCTGTGTTGGTTAGTCAGCTGCCCACTGATCCTCTCAGCAACTTTCAATGCCACTGACAATGGCATCCTTCCAGAGAGGTTGGCTGGGCAGGGAGTTGATGGCATCACTTTGTGGTGGCCCTGCTCCTACCTGGTTGACTGGCTCTAGTTGGTGGAGCTGGGGGACTGTTGCTCTGCACCATGGAACTTATCCCCCTTGCTTTTTAATGAAAGCACTGGGACTTACATGAAAGTGCTGGGGGAGGTCAACTGGAGGTTTGGGCTGAAGTGTCACCAATGTGTAGATAACACTCAGCTCCACCTCTCATTTTCATCTTACCTAAGTGAGCCAGTGATTGTTCTTAACCCTAAGCAATAAACTGAAGCTCAATCCAGACAAAATGGTGGTTCTGCAGGTGGGCAGTCCATTTGTTGAACTGGGCCATTTTCAAACTATCCTGGATGGGGTTGTGCTCCCCCTAAAGGACAAGGTTCATAGTGTGGGGGTGCTCCTTGACCCCAAGTTGTTATCTTACAGGTGACCTCTGTGGCAAGAAGCACCTTCTATCAGCTTAGGCTGATTTTTCAGCTATGTTCCTACTTGGATGAGTGGAATCTTGTCACAGTTATCCACACTCTGGGAACCTCTCTTCTGGATAACTGTAATGCACTCTTGGAAGACAGTCCAGATACTTCAGCTAATTCAAAACAGAGCAGGATGACTGTTAATAAGGACCGGTCCTAGAGAGCACATGCTCTGGTCTTCCACCAGCTACACTGGCTGCCTGTTGTCACCTGGGCCCAATTTAAAGTGCTCACACTGACAAACAAAGCTCTAAATGGGTTGGAGCCAGAATATCTGAAGAAACAGCTCTGTATATCTCTGCCAGACCACTAAGATCTTCAGTGGAGGCCCTCCTCTGTGATCCCCGCTCCACCATGAAGGAAGGGAGGAAATGGTGAGGAAAGGGACTTTTCCCACTATTACACCTCATTTGTGGAATCCTCTTCTACAAGGAGGAGCAACTGGCACAGTTTCAATTACCACGTAAAGACATTTTTATTTGATACTTGCTTTTAGTAATATTTTTGGTTTCACTATGTTATTACTGCTACTTGCTTTTGTTGTTTTATGCATTTGTTCCCCTTTTTGTATTCTGTATTAATTGGATTTTATGCTGTATTGGGTTTTATAGTTTTAATCATGTTGGTTTAAATGTTGTTATTCATTGTATTGACATTGCATTTTATTTTTTTCTACAATGTTATCACATCCCCACTTTTTAAAAATATTCATTCTTGCTTCTGCTAACAGATTATTCATGGTTATCTTTATACACCTTCCTAAACCAGGCATGGGTAGCAATACCCATTGTTTATCTCCAGATGTTTTCTACTTCAAGCCCTTGCCAACATAGCCAACCATTAGGTATGCTGGAAGTGGAAGTCCAAAACATCTGACAAACTACCAGTTGCCCAAGTCTTCTTTTAATCCATGGAGCAATACATTCTGTGGGATAAATTCAAAAATATCTCCCATGGTTTCTGGAGTATCCAAAAATATTTTTACTATATTCCTTGCTGGTGATCTGCAAATGGTGGTCCCCTAAATATGATTTTCTCCATGGCAGTACCCAGTGCTTTTTTTGTCATAGAATGCACCAGAACGGAGATCCGGCACTTTTTTTTCAACAGATTTTCCAAGTTTTAAAAGTAACTTTTGAAAATTTGATGTTTGGTCCATGTGGATTTGAATCGCCCTGTCGAGCATAGCAGGTTGGCGGCAAAATCATTAAAACGGTACATGTGGGCTGCATGTGTGTCGAATCCGATGCATGCGTACTTCATCCGCGCTGGTTGTGATGGTGCTGCTCAGCTTGTGGCGCTGCTCGACTTGTGATTGGTTGTGTGGTCGTGTGCTTAGTGCTTACTGCGAGCGGCAACCGTTATGTTTCGTTACACAACTGATCTGTGTGGGTGTGTGTACAGTGATTGACTATGTGCGAAAGTTAAACAATTTCATGACTTCTGGCACCTTTTTTCTTACAAACAAAAGCACTGGCGGTACCCATTTGTGGCATGTCCTCTCCCTGTTTTGTGGGATGTTCATCCTATGCCTGGATGTGAGGAATGCTGGAAATTTCTGCCACCATACCTTACACTGGGTACTTTATTTAGACAGCTGTTTTCTGCCGTCTGGATTTAGGGCTGGGTAGTGGCAAGGATGGAATTGGCATAGCTTCAGCATTCTAACCATCCCCAGCATACTCCTTTTTTCTCCTTTCAAGGCCCAGTTGTGACATTGAGGGGGCAGTAGGCATGGTTCTTTCAATGGGCAGCGGGCGGGGGTGTGGCGAGGCTCAGGCTTTGGATCACCAGCTACAAGATCAGAGGTCAATAAGGAACTAGGTCACTTATGAATCTGAAAAATGTCAGAAACTCTGAAAAATGCTAGCCTTTAACTGTGATGTTGGGATTCTTTGAAATATCGTTAATTATGAAAAAGATGACTGGGAAACAAAAGCTGCTATGTAACCAGAAGTTACTTCTGTTGTGGAAGAGGGAAAAGGACCACCATGTTTTATGATTCTCTCTTCCTGCTGCAGCATTCTTTTGCTGCAATACATCTCAACTGCCAGGAGTGGATTTTCAGAAAGTCAGCAGAGGTTAGAAAGCCCCTATTCTGTAAATGCTTATGAACCAGCATTCTGGATGGAAGCAAAGTCTAGGAACTAATTACTCCTTAAAAGTGTTGTAAAGTATGCCAATCAATTCCAGGGACTATATTATCAATTGCATTATGTAATCTCCTCCATATAAATCTTTCCAGCTTCTCTTCATGATTTTGACTTCTGGTTGAATTTGTAATGTTTTGTTTCTCATTGAAACATTTAATCTTTTCATATGTATGTCCTGGCTTCATCAGCCTGTTACCCTTCAGACATTCAGGTTACAGAGTTTTTCATAATATCGCAGGATGTCTTTCATTACATTCAGCCTGTTGTGTTTGGCATGGAATGGCCCATTCAGTAAGACCATATTCACTCCATCTTACCCATGTCCAAGAAAAAGAAACCTCCCTCTTGCAATCATTTTAACTCTCTTCTAAAGCTAAAGATCAGGTCATCTGGATGCCAGCATGGTATTGCAATGTGGATACCTTTATTCAAGAAACAAGCACCTCCACTTCAGGAACCTTGGTTGACCTTTACTCCTACCCCTACTCCTTGGTGACTACTTGAGCTTTAACCTCTGTTCAATGTTGCATGGGATTAACTTGTAATTCTTCTACTACAGGCTGCTCTCCACTCCCATCCTTGAGTAACTGCTTCCACTGGTACAGAATATCTTCTAGCTCTTCCAGTTCTTCTGTACTTTCCACCTTTTTCAAGGTAGTTTCCTCCTCATTTCCCCTTCCCTCAGGATTCTCCTCTTCTGCTTCAGCTTGCTGTTGAACTTCTAGCTTCTGTACTACTCTTAGCTGTTGCAGTTCCACTGCTCTGTCTGAAAACTCTTCATCTTATTTTATTCCCTTGGGGTGGACAATCACTGCTTTAGAGCTCTCACTATTTCTTCTGACAAAGCTATATGTTTGCACTTGACCTCAGGCAAGAAAAAAAATTGCACTGGTGTTGCAGGTCACCACCAGTGCAGTGGTGAACCTTCTTGGTCCATTCTTTCTACTACCTTTTTGATTCTAGCTTGCTGGGCCTGTTGTAACAACCAGTTCTTTCTCCTGCCTCCCCTGAAGGTTAACAGCACAGTCCTACCAATAAACAGGAGGGTGTTAGTATCCAAGATTCTCTAGACCAGCTGGACAGCTTCCTCTAATTTGCTTAGCAAGGAGCCAGGCACAAGTTATTTACTGTAGGAATGTTTCTGAAAAATGCTGTTGTGGAACAATGAATGTGCTAGGGAAGGAATAGGGATTGGAAAAATAGTTGCTCCTAGAGAAGAGTAGGAGAATGTTTGTTTGTTTTATTAAGAGTACAGAAGCTGGACCATACACAGTTAAGATACACAGCTTTCCTGCATTCTTTAGATAAAGTAGGATTGTGACTTATTAGAAGTTAATTATTGAGTTGCTATGCAAAATTATAACACAATCAATTTTCTTGCCTTACATTTATTAGACATCCTTTCCAGTGTCCACCTCCTCTTTTCTAAAAGACGGCAACTAAAATAAACAACCTAACTGTTCATCTACTGCAAAAAAAATCTTTCTGATTCCACTGACCTTATTCTGCCATTTCCATCTTTGCACTGCTTCATGGTATCGGATTCTGGAGAACGTGACCTGAATTGGATTATAAAAGCAGACAGAATAATCACAGAAGGAAAAAAGAAACAACTGGGAAGGAATATATGAAATATGAGCTGTTTCAGGTCTTACCATAGTGTATAGAGGGATGAAGGTAGAGGGCAAGAGAGCATGAAGAATGTTGTCTAAATGCTTTCGGAAAATGAACCACCTTGAATTTACATGCATCCTCATCTGAAACCATCAAGAAAAGCTTTCATATTTGGTAAAATCTGTTGCCATTTAGTTGGCAAACAAACAACCATCTAGCTTACCTCTATATAATTATACATGGCTAAATCTGAAATTGCATGGTCATCAGGTACTCTCAGATGTGAAAACTCTGGAAGGCAAACACCTGAGGAAGAAGCAGGTTGTTTTATACATTTATACACTCAAAAAGAAGCTATAGCCAATTTGACTAATAATAATTGCTTGTTTCTCATGCTTATACTTTATAGATTTAGGTATACATTAAATCTAACGGATGTACTTAACATGTAATGTGTTTATTCCTGTTTTAGTGCTCTTCTGTAAACTAGAACATTCAATAAGCACACCTAATTTCATCTTCATGTAATATTTGTTTTCACTAAATGTAACATTACACTGTATTTGCTCTACTTCTGCCTATCTCCTGTCTTGCGGAGAAATAAGTTCCTCATTAAGAACAGCAAAATATGTGACACTGGAAATGGCAGAAGTCTTCTGTTTCTTGAGAGGCAGGGGAATAGGGAAATAAATGATTTCAGATTGAGCAGGTTCATCTCCTCTATGTCCTTTTCCCAGTAGAAGGAGGCATAGGGAAGGAAAAATGGCTTTATGGCATGAAAGCCATCTCTGACAGGAGCAGCCCTTAAGCACAACAAAGTTGATTCATATCAGACACACCAGAACCAAAAGTCAAGGTGCATAAGTGCACCCTAATATCAGAAAACATGGCCCCATACCATTCATTCTATATAATTCAAAGAAAGCTGAGTGTGGGGAGCCATCCACCCACCCACCCACCATTTTGATGACCTATGCCTGCTTTAATTGGACCAATCTGCATTTTAAAGGTGTTTCCACTACCTTTCAGGTTCCGTAAAAATTCTCCTTCAAGCAACATTCATTACATAAAAAGTACCCAGTTTGGTTTATACCAAGGTAGGTAAAGATAAATCTCCAGGTGTTTTGCACTTCAGTTCGCAGCATTTCTGACCATTTGGCCATACTGGCAGGTTTAAACTACTTAACGTATACTTGAGCAACTGAGCAAGATGCTTAGCTGCAGTCTGCACTATGAGTGTGACTAGTACAGAAACTCAAGAGAAAAAGGTACTATTTGTTAGCTCCAGGATATGTCCTTGACTGGAATACCAGGACCAGTGGCAACTAAGGTGGACGGACAACTTGACAAGACATAACAGGACCAGAGGCAAAGACACAAGAACAAGCATGAGTCAGATAACTAGCAATGCACAGCAGGGTCAGAGGTGGAGGCAAAGTCAGGAGTCAAGACACAAATGAAAATGTTATAGGACAGGAGGGAGAAACCAGGTCAGAAAAACAGAGCAACCATCATGAAGGCTCCTTTTGCTGTAGAAAGGCCAGGCAGCCTTTTATAAAACCACCTGTGTTTTCCAAGTGCTCTTCATGTTTACAGTTGGACCTCGACTTTCATGGGTTTAACTTTTATGGATTTGATTATTCATGAGTTTGCCATCAATAATTCAATAGGAGCTTTTTTGGAGTTTTGCAGCCTTCTGTGACAAATCGTCATCACCATAAAAAGACAGAATGTGAAAGGGGAGGGGGGTCTCCAAAGCATGGCTTTTTGTCTCACCCATCCAGAGAGGGAAATCTCTGGCATTTCTTTGATCCAAAGAAAAGGCACAGGTGAGTGAGAATAACGATATAAGAATGATACACTGTAAATGAAGAAGGGGTGCCCTGCTGGATCAGTCCAAGGTCTGAGAGAAAGAGGAAGAAGCAATCCAGGACAACAGCTGGGGGGATGGGTGGGTTAGAATTATTCTCATTTTTTCCACTTTTGTGGGGGTCCTGCACCCCTAACCCTTGCAATGTGGAGGGCCAACTGTACACTGGTTTTAATCATAGCAAGCACATACAAGTCTGATACTGATTCTGCCTGGTGAATTGGCTACCTTCCCTGTCAACCCCCCACAGGGAGCTGCATCAGTCTACAGGCCCTGACACTATTGCACTAAAACACAAAGGGCTGCTTTAAATCCCTGCAAAGTAAGTACTTTCTATAGCTCTTACTGTTTGGACACTACTACTGCTGATCATAGTGACATCTGGTAACATTTAGATTTCTTTCTGCCCAGAAGTGAGCAGGCTAATTATATAATGCTGGGTGCACTATTTCTCTCATGTTCTACTGGCCAAAAAGGTTTGTAAGTAATGCTTCAAATTTCAGGAGGCCCTTTTCTCACCTCCTCCATGTTTAAGAAACACATGGAAATTGTGTGGCCTTACATGCATAGATAACTTCTTATGTACCATCCAACATGGGAAAGTCAAGGACAGTGGTCACATGTAGAAAGAGGGGGCATGATCTTGTGCTTCAACCCAAGTTGAGAACAAGTGTAACAATTTGAGTCCTGAGTGTACTGGCAACATGTGGAAGATTATTGTACGGTGAGGAGTTAGGTTTGACATGTCTCATTTCCCCTCATATTGCCCTTATCAAGTATGTTGATTTATGATGAAGTCTTCAGTTATACAACGGAATGTGTTTTGTTTTTCATATCTTGTTTTACATTCCCCTTGCCAGAAGGGAGTGCTGTGTCCTAGGTGTAGAGCATTCGGGAGGATCCTAGATTAGCTATCTGGAGTTGTTTACCCCAGTGTTGACCCAGGGGCCAGGTGCTGGGCATGTGTAGAATGGCGATTTGTGAGCCAGATGCACTCAATTACTCCATTAATTACTCCATTAAGATACCTAGCTTTGGGGATAAAACCAGAGGGTTGAGGATCTGAGTTTGGGAGCTTCTACACAGATCAGGTATTGAATGCTAAGTGATTGATGATCTGGGGTGTCTCGCTGCCCAACCGGGGCTCCTGGCAGCTGAAGGGGAGAAGATACTCTTGCAAGATATAAATGCTATTTTGTTTGTCTGCAGATACTATCATTGCTTAAATAAAGCATTGCTTTTCCTTCACCTACTGGCGTGTTCATTGCCTCCATTTGGCAGAACACTGAGCAATAATTTATTCCCCACTAGATATATACTCACAGAGATCATTGTTGAATTGGTTCATCAGCTCATCAAAAACCAGACAGTCTTCAAATCCCTAAAAGAAATGCAACAATGAAATCAGTTTAGGGACTAAATTCTGTTTAGGGTTTAAATTCTGACTCAGTAGAACATTGGATTGGGAAACGAATGGAAATTAGGTTTATATTAATCAAATTTAAACATAAATGTTAGATCATTTTTATCCAATCTGCTCCAGATAAACATCACCAGTTTGTAGCGAGAGGGTTGTTATACTACAAGTAACTCTTTTCCAACCTTTCCATTCTATCCTCAGAACAATTAATAATTGTTCTTCTATGTATATTAATTAAAATTGTGATAACATATCATATTAGTGTTTGCATGTCAGCCTCTGTTTACAGGTATTAATTCCTATACTCTTAACCATTTTAGATTACATCCCCCATCTGTTTTTCTTATACTGTGTTGCCCAAATATGCTCAAAGCAATATACAGTGGTGTCTCATATTTCAAACTTAATTCATTTCAGGAGGCCATTTGAACTCTGGGTTGTTCAAAGTCTGAAGCAATTATCCCCATTAGAAATAATGGAAAGTGAATTAATCCATTTCCAGACCATAAACAATACCCATTTAAACAGCAAATACGGGCTCCTGAAATGAATTAAGTTCGAGGTTATATACAAGGTGTGATCAAAAAGACAGGAAATGTTTAAATTATTTTTTAAAAAATTACAGTAAAAGACACATTGTCATTAATCCCCCTCAAAATACTTCCCCTCACTTCAAACATACTTACCCCAGCACTGTTGTGGCTAGCTCAGTGTCCTGAAATGATTCAAGATGAATCAAGTCAAGATGAGACAAATCAATTCAAGATGAATCAATTAATCTCATCTTGACTTGTGACTGAGTGAAGTGAAAAAAATGCACAGTTCAAACTTAGAAACATCATTCAAACTGCAAAGCAATTTTATCTTGACTCTAACATTTGAACTATGGATTGTTTGAAGTTTGAGTCGTTTGAACTACAAGGCACCACTGTACTAGGTCTCCAGTATAAACTAAAGCTGCACAACACATGGAACATGAGAAGTGAGAATCAAGGAGACTGGAAACTGCAAATCAAGAAATGGAATGGTTAAATATCACAGTTGCTGGTGTGAAAAAACTAAAGTGAACCAGAATGGGAGATTTTCAGTCAAATGAACACAAAGTGTTTTACTCTGGAAATTACGAACACAGAAGAAACGAAAAGGCTCTAATGTAGTCAAAGGCAGAAGCAGAAGAAGACCAAATATGAAATGGATCAGTTCCACAGAGGAAGCCACAGCCTTGAATTTACAAGAGTTCAGCAGGGCTGTCAAGGACAGGACATTTAGAGATGATTTGATGGGACATAACAAATTCAATATGTATGAACCATACTGTAACAACAATATTAAAAGGCAATAGCACTCTGTTCAATTTGATCTGGTCAGTGCTGGTGTCACCTGCTTTCCTGCCCCCTGCCATACAAGCATATTAATTACTTGAAGAATGGCTGAGTGTGGGAGAAGATGGTAGCTGTGTTTCCCCCACACCCCTATTTGATAATAGGACTAGGACAATTATAGTATCCCCTGTAAGAAAGTTATATGAATACAGTGGTACCTTGGCTCATGGACTTAATCCATTCCAAGGACTCTGGTCATGACCCAAGTCAAATTTCCCCATAAGGTTCAATGTAAATAAGGTTAATCCATTCTGTAACTACTTTTTAATCACAAAAATTTGAAGCAAAGTGACAAAGAACAAAGATCGTGGCCATTTCCACCCTCCCTCCAGTGACTGTGCTGGGTGGGGGGGGGGGACGGGCCACGATCGTGCTCAGGGTTGGGGGGAGATGGGCATGATCATGATCATCACCTGATGTGAAGTTTGCGACCTGAGGCAAAATTTTTCAGAAATTTCTGTTTGCGGCCCGATTTGGTCATGAACTGAGGCATTCATGAGCCAAGGTACCACTGTAATGCTATTTCCATGCTTGGAACTTGCAACTAATAATCCTATTCCATCCTTTAAAGAAAGGAGACATTCCACTTGCCATTGCCTCTAGTATGCTTGGATCTCCCAAAATTTAGGATCCTAGCCCTTGAAAGGCATGGGGGTGGGGTGGAAGTTGCAAGCTCTTTCAAGCCTTTTGCAAAGATTTGAATGGTGTTCATAAAAACTCCACCCTTTTCAAATGAGATACAAATATGGGTGGCAGGTGCATGCATATATAAGTAGAATGTAGGAAACATTCACTATTCTACCTGTAAAGAGAACACCATCATGAGTTTACTGGTGGTGTGTTTCAGTTCTAAGAGCAAATAGCTCTATAAAATAATAAAGAATTCTAAAATTTAAAGAACTGGTTTTCCTAAAGAAAGTGAGTACTAGGTTTGCAGGATGGAGTCTTTTATTTATTTTTTTATCTTATTTCTACACTACCCCACAGCCAAAGCTCTCTTGTCTCACCGCATTCATGCCTTGACCGTAGAAGGGTACGACTGCATGTGCAGCATCTCCCATTAGCACACAGTGGGAGTCAATGTGGTATGAAGAGCATTTCACAGATACCATGGCCTGAGCTGGTAGCAAAAAGAAGTCTTGCATCAGTTTTTGTCTGGAATTAGAAGAGCATATCACTGTTCAAATGATAAATATAACTATATGATAATACAGTGAGATAATTTTACTATTATTCTATGGGCCATGAACAAAGGGAGTTAGGCATTTATTGCCATCCACTGAAAGAAAAAAAAGCTGAAGCAACTTGACATTCATATAAATAGGCCTCTTTACAGCTGTCTGGCTGATCAAATATGCTGATCTAATAAGCTACAACAATAGATTAACTGAATACAGCATTAGCATACCTGAAAACACCAAAAAAACAAGATCAAAAATATATACTACATAAAAACATTCTCTATTGGCAAAAGGATGACCGAGAATTCTTTGCCATTCCTTTATGATGTAGCCATGTAGCCAAACTCCTGCCCCCATCTTGCCAAGCTGAGCCAGCAAGTCCAATGGTCAATGATACTCAGAGTTGTAGTTAGAGCTGACTTGCAAAATATTAATTGGTGTACATTAGGGTTTTGCCTGGCTTGGTTTTGAATGGCTGGGACTCTTTATGTCATTTTGGTGTTTTCTCCCTTCTGACTTTTTTAAAAAATGAAGCAATGTAGTTCCCCCCTCTCCATTTCAGACCCACAAAATTAGGGTTTAAGTTAGTGCTGGTATTAAACCACTAAGCCCTAGACAGGTTGGGGCCAAGTTACCTGAATCATTTCCTTCCATACATACATGCCCAGACCCTAAGTTTGTCTTCAGATGCTGTTTGTAGGTGCCCATGGCATTTCTAAGGAATCCTCCTCAGAGGAGGATCTGGAGACTCCTGAGCCAAGCAACCTGAGGAAACAAGTTACTTCAGGAGGCCCTCGAGGTGAGCAAGAAAGTCATAGGCCGTCAGGAGAGAGAACTTCAAAGCTTCCTATTTGGATGCTGAAGAGTTTTCAAAGCAGGCCTTCCTGACCCACCCATCCAGAGAGGGAATGTCCCCAGGCATTTCCTTGCTGCAAAGGGAGGCCCTGGTGAGTTGGAGTGGGGGGGGGCGTAGTCATGCTTCTTCCATTTTCACAGGGATCCTGCACAGCTAACCTCCAAGAACATGGAGGGCCAACTGATCCAACTTACAAATTCAACTTAAAGATGAATTTCTCTTTTCTCAGAAATGGGACCCATTCGTAAACAAAGGGCCTACGAGGAACTGCCCCTTGAGTTCAAGCTACATAAGGCTTCATTTTCAGTTTAGCCGCTGCAGGGATAATATTTACCAGCCTTGTTGTTCTGACCTTGCTTTGTGCTTAATCTTCTGTGCTGTGGACTTTTGGACCCCTGTTTGACTAATCTTCAGACTATGTTTGTATTGGACTGCTTTCCTGACTTAAATTTTTGTTCACGGAGAGTGCCTTGTTGCATTGTAGCATGGGGGTGTGGAGAGAAAGAAATGGTCCCCTGAACTGGTATTTACTCAAATGTAAGTCTTCTACAAAAATATAGAAAGAAAGGAATGTGAAGTCAGCATGAGGGGTGGGAAAAGTGAAAGTGTGGATCAAGCATAACAAGAAACACATGTGAAAAAAGTATGTGAACCTCTTGTACCTTGTAGCAGAAAAGCAGTGATTTTTAACACTAGGAATCTTCTTTCTGGAAGCACCCTTATACTTGTGTGAGTGGTGACAGAATACGCAAAGGCAGTAAATGGAGATAAGTGCACAGTAGTAGATATTTCTGAGATAAGAGATAGGAAGGATCCAAGACAAGAAGCGAGCTCTCTCAGATACTTAAAGAAAAGTACATGTGGTCAGATATGCATGCACTTTGTTTATAGTTAGTTGGGTGTATGGACTAGAGAGAAGACAGTACCTCATGCAAGGGGCAGTATCCAGTGGAACACTTCCACCCCCACTCTTCTGCCCCATCATTGTGTTGTGCAGGTGACCTCCAGCACTAGTGTAGTTGGGTTTTAGCAACCTGAACAGAGCAGAAATACTCTTTTCTGGGAAGAACCAGATCATAGATGCTCACTTAAGGGAGCTCTGCCAACCAAGCCTCCTTCTAGCAATAAGTATTTCCAACTCCTTTCAAGGCATCTTTTAAATTTCACTTGCACAAACAGTGGGGTCACTTGTACATTGGTACCTTGGCTCATGAACTTAATCCATTCCACAACTCTGGTCATGACCCAAATTGGTCGTGAGCCAAGTCAAATTTCCCCATAAGGGTCAATGTAAATAAGGTTAATCTGTTCTGTAACTATTTTTTTATCAGAAAAATTTGAAGCAAAGTGACAACAACAAAGTAACAAAGAACAATAAAGATCGCAGCCATCTCCCCCCCACCGAGCACAAGCGCAGCCATCTCCCCCAACCCCCCAGCATGATCAAGATTGCGGGCGCGCTTGGGGGAGACAGGTGCAATCACAAGCGTGCTGGGGGGGAGATGGCTGAGTTCACGTTTGCGCTTGTGCAGAAAAGACAGGTGCAATCTTGGCCACCTCCCCCGCAAAACGATTGCGGCTCTCTCCTCACCCCCCCCCCGAACACAACCACGATCGTGCCTGTCTTCCCTGCATGAGCGCGACTGTGATCGGGGCCATCTCCCCACTTGGAGATGGGGAGTTCATGACCTGAGTCAATGCTGAGTTTGTGACCTGAGTCAACATTTTTATGAAATTTTTGTTTGTGACCCGATTTGGTCATGAACTGAGGCATTTGTGAGCCGAGGTATCACTGAATAGTGCTTTCAGCAGAGTCCATTGCAGATACAGTAGAATCAGTGGGGTGGGAAAGAATCAGCAAGTACATTAGCACCCTGTTGGATGCTGCCCAAGGACTCTTCCAGCCCCTCAGTCTTCAGAGAGAAACTCCTTCCATGAGCACAGAATCTTAGTTCCCTAGTACAGGTTCAATCTTTGTAAGAGCTGATTATATTCAACACAGCAAGGAAGACAGAAAGCTGCCACATTCAATTGATTCTTGAATGTCATATGATCATTCAGGTAACAATTGACAAAATAAAACTTACTTTCCTATTAGAGCAATTGAGTCTGGAAAATGCATTTTGAAGAAATCTAGCAGTTGTTCCCTTGTTTTGAGTTCTTCAAATTTTTCGAAAGGCATGAAAAGAGTGCATGTGAATGACTTATCCTATGGATTAAAAATAAATTATGTGAAAAGTTGGAAGAAATGCATCATTTGCTAATTTTGATCCTCAAAATAGTTTTCTGAAAGTTAAGTAGACAAGAAATGGTTGTTTCTTATAAACAATGAATTCAGTCATTCAATTTAATAAACATTTGGGAAGCAATTTTTCCAAGAGCTATGATGATATGCTCTCCTTACAAGCATCTTTTTAAACTGACAATTTTCAGTTCCCTTCCATATGCAATAATACAAAATAGATCAGGTAAATATAATATAAGGTAGGGTAAGACAGAGAATATAGACTCCATATTTTCAATAGACACTAAATTATATTTGCATTTGGAAACCACATTGAGCACTATTTTTTGGTAGAAAGATGGTCATCATCTTAAAGAATAGCAGCAAACAATTCATGATGTAAAATTGGGAATTGATAAGTCTGGACCCCTGAATCTCTGCATCTATTTCCCAGAATATCCACTAGTCCCTGTGGAAGGTTTTTTTTAATCCTCAGATTTATTGCCATGCATGAAACCACTTTGGCAAAGGATATGGATTGCATCTCAGGAATGTTTACCCTCCCCTCATCTCATACGTCAACATGCCACTACAAAAATGCCCAGGATGACAACTAGGCAGGGGAAAAATGTTTCCATTCACCCCTTAGTTCAGGGGCCTTCAAACTTTTTCAACAGGGGGCCAGCTGAAAGGTGCTGGTGGTGGACGCAGGCCGCCAAGGTGGTGCCGGCAAGGGGGCACAGGATGGTGAGGGGGCGGAGGGGCGCGCGCACCAAGGTGGGGGCTTGCTCGCGCAGAGATCGTTTTCTCTGAGTGAGTCCAAAACAATCTGCGCACAAGCAAGCTGTGTGCTTTCACCTGTGTGCACGCGCCCGTGCAAAATCTCTTGGGCAGGCCGGTTAAATAGGCCTGGCAGGCTGGATCAGGCCTGCAGTCCATACTTTGAGGACCCATGCCTTAGTTGCCATATGGGGATTTCCAAGTGTATTACAGTTGGGACAGAAAGAATTAACCCTTACTGTGTTTTGTAGCTGCATGGCAATTACCTCGTGGTTATTAGTGGGTACCAATGTAAGTTTTGGTACCAATTGGTACCAATGTAAGTTTTTTGAGAGGGGAGTCCTAATCTTAATTACTTGGGATGGAGGCAAACTGATAGACACATGGAATAGTAGAGTTGGAAGGGGCCAAGAAGGTCACATTTTACTTGGGGTATCTGCCCAGATTGTTCAACCTTTCAGGAAGACAATAAACATATACTTTACCCCAGTTAGGTGGACTGCCTGGCAATAAGTAGCAAGGACTGCTGCATGCAATATAGTCATCAATCCTTACCTTAATTTGATGCATTCTGTCTTCATGGTCATTACATCACTTCATTTTTTGTGTTTTGTTATTATTCTGCTTTCCAGAAATCTTGATCTAAACCACCTTGAAAGTATCTCCAAATTTCAAATTATGCATTTCAGAAAAAGACAGATATAAATATATATTACTTCTCCTACCAGATTTGGCAGTGCAATCATCATGAATGTGTTCCTGGGCCAAATGTGAAGATAGTTTGGCTTCATTGCAAACTGAAAAAAGACATCCCCACAGAAATGTATACATGTATTTCTCAATGCCTTTACAGCAATCAGCTGGAAAGGGAGGGAAGTCTATGGGAATTACCACTACTTACATCTCCATCCTTTGGGGGAATGTTCAGCTCCATGTATCCATGAGGAATATACTCTTGGCTGTAACTGAAACGTGTTTGTCTCATAAACTGCTTCCTAACCGTAGAAAAGGCTCCATCACAACCCACAATTAGGTCACAAATTACCTCGTTTACAGTTTGGTCTGATCTAAACACAACAACAAAGAATATTGGTTTATTTCTATAGATTTCTACTCAGCCCCTACCAAATTAATAATGAAACCCATATTGCATGCCTTTAGTTAAAATTCTCAGAACTGGCCCAAATCATTCTACTACCTGAGGCAAGCAGTGCTCTCCATATCATTTACATAAAGTTGTTAGACTAACAGTTCAATATTCTTTTATGATTTCTTTAATGTTCAAGATTCGTGTAATTTATTTGAATGATTTCAAATTTCTAGGGCCTGATGATCTGCATCCTAGAGTAAGAAAGGAACTCTTGGAAGAAATCTCAGAACCACTGCCTATTATCTGTGAGAAATCATGGAGAACAGTGGGAAGTGCCAGATAATTGGAGGATGACCAATGCTATCTCTGTCTTCAGAAAGGGAAAGTACAAACCGTTTGGTCTGATAGCAATCCCTGGGAAAATTCTAGAGCAGTTAATAAAGAAATCAGTCTGTAAGCACCTTGAAGATAATGGTGTAATTCACAGAATCATAGAATCACATTGTTGGCTCATACTTAAGCCTATGGTCTACAATTATTCTGAGATCTTTTTCTTTTTCAGTTCCACATATTCCCCATCTTGTATTGATGCATTTGGTTTCTTTTTTCCTAGGTGGAGGACTTGGCACTTGTCCTTATTGAATCTCATTCTGTTGCTTTGAGCCCAGTGTTCAAGTTTATCAAGACTGCCCTGGATCTTCATTTTGTTTTTTAGGGTGTTTGCTATTCCACCCACTTTTGTATCATCTGCAAATTTGATTATCTTTCCTTGTACTTCCTCATTGATAAAGATAGTAATTATTAGAAGCCAGCATGGATTTATTAAGAACATGTCTTTCCAGACTAATCTGATCTCATTTTTTGATCAGGTAACCTCCCTCAAACTGGGGAGAGGTAATGATTCTGCAGGGTTCATTCCTGGGTTGGTTGGTAGGGAAGTTATGGACTCTCCCACACAGGAGGCATTTAAGAGGAGGCTGGACAACCATCTGTCAGAGATGCTTGAACTTGGAGTTAGGGGGTTTGACCAGATGGTGTTATTGATTCTTTCCAACTCTATTATTCTATGCTTCTATTCTATGCATTGCAGATACCTTCCTGCCCTTCAGCACTTTGCCACTACTCCCCATCCCCCACCTATGGCAACTAGCTCATTCTGCCAGCCTGGAATATTACAGTATTTTGAGTGGTGATGAACCTGACTTTTATTTGCTTGGACTTCCTTTTATTGCTTTTATTGCTTCCTTTTATTATATTTTAAGGACCCAAGAGCTGTTTCCCACCCTCACTTCATTTTGTTATGAAGAACCAGTTAACCTGTTAAGTGTTCAGAGAGGACACTGAACTCTCCTCATGTGGATTTAGGGAAAAGAGTGGAAGTAACATTCAAACTGAGATTAAAGTTTTGAAAATCAGAAATACTCCTAAACAAATCTAAAATGAGCTTTTGACCCCTGAAATAGTTATCTTAATGTAAGGTCAGCCTTCATGGACAATAATATTAGTTTCTCAATGCACTAATCTGAAATATTCTTCACCATATTAGTAAGCCCTTCTCCAAATGTCCAGACAAAGAGACCTGAATACCTTGATTTTTCATACCTTTCCCAGACACACACCCCCTCAGACCAGGTGCATGGACTCTGAGTCAACATTTTGCCCTTGATTTTGAAGTTATTTATTTATTTAAAGTTTTTATATGCCTTCCAATGCTAAAAGTCTCTGGGATGGCTTACAAAAAGCTGAGGAAGACCGGCTATCTTCTAAAAGTATATGCCATTGCTTAATGCTAAACCAGGGGCTACTCAGCCTGCTACCAGTTGCATATCTATGTTGCCTGCAGAGTAAGCAATTCAGCTGCCATTGATGATGATAGATTTGAACATCTAACATGTTTGAAGAATGCAAAACTAAATGCAATTACTTGGGAATAAAGCACTATTGAACACAGTGAGACTTACGTCCAAGGAAATATGCCAAAAATTGTGCGGATCATTTCTTCGAGTGCCCTGTTCTTCTAAGCAAGCTTACTTGAGGAACCTGCCACTTCACAGTAGTTGGGAGGAGGAGATTTATCCAATTGAGTTCTGATTAATTATTAAAGGACTCAGGAAGTTTGCAGCTACTGATTACCTTGAAACAGTTAGGGCCCCTGATTCCACATTGCAGCAAAGCAGTTTGTGCTCAAAATATATTTTAGTATTGGGGTATTTCTCTGCAGCTGTAGAAAGGGAAGAAGAAAACAGTATTAAATGCAAAAAACTAGGAGCTTGTTGATCAAGCTGTATTTTTCTTTACAATAGAGTTCTGAATTCTTTAAGATTATTTAAGTAAGTTAATTTCAAAACTCATGTTTCTACAATATCTGTCTAAATTACAATACATGGCATTAACCTCCAGTGAACTGACACTGCTTCACATGGGTTGGTAGGGCAAAGCCTTCAAGTAAACTTGCACAGCTGTGTCTCCTTGAGGCAGTGCTGCAAACTTGATGCACCTCAATAGCTCCCTGAGCAAGGGGATCTCTTCACTCTGTTTCCCTGTGGGATCTGCCCAAAAGCACAGGGGAAGGGGCATATCTATAATTCTGTTGCTTGGCCTACTGATCTTCACTGGCTTCACATTGTATTGACTTCAAAGCTGGCTAGAGAAATCTTTCACTAGTGGCTGAGGGCAGGAATCAATCACATGGGCACCTTAAAATTTATCAAAACTGAAATATTTTATAAATATAACAAGACAGGTGCATAGTCCTACCATTTCCTTAGAATGCATACCAAGTTTCAGGTGTTTAGGTTTCTTTGTGCTATAGTAACAAACAGACCCCATCTTTTATCATTACAGTTTTAACTTGTTTCATGCAGTCCATCTGCTACAGCTCCATTCTTTGTTGTCAAGTATTTGGCCTCATGAATCAGCACTGACATAACATGTGGCAATGCATGTTTTGGCTACCAAAGAGCCTAGATGACGTATATCTGCATTCCTATTCACTGAAAATATATTCTTAGCTTATGTCATTACCTTGTATGTTTATTTCATGTCACACTCTAAGCTCAAGGTTTTAGTACATTTCAGCACAAAAGCGTTTAGCATTTGTGCTCAATCTTTCTATAGCAGGTATAGAATCTTGCTGTGATGTATTGTACTGCTAAAGGAGAAGACATAAGAAGCCTCATTCCACCACATATTCATCTTTCTCCCCCCCTCCCCCGCTACCACCAACCATCTCTTTCTCTTCACCCTAACTGTAAATGGCAAAGAGCACTCCTATTGGTCTTTCTTATGCCTAGCCTCTGTTTGAGTAACTGCTAATGTAACTTTCTCAAATATTAGCTTATTTTAGACATTGCAAAGTGAAAAAGGAGAAAGAAATGAAAAAGCACACCTACCAGTTAGCAGCTCCTTGTTTAAATTTGCTCTATCCACAGAGATAATATACTGCATGAAAAAGTCAGTATAAGGCACATGATAGATCTGCTTAATTTTATATAAATGGTCTTGATAAAATAAAATACCCTCTTTTCAGACATCCCAATCTAAGGAGGTCCCATAGCTTACTGCCATAGTAAAGTATTCTTTGATATACTTATCTCTTACCCCATCAAAAGCCACAGGTATGCCATAACTGAGCCAAACAAAAAACAAGACTGAAACAGTAGCAGTGAATGTTTAAACAGGGACACAAGGTGAGAGAGTTCTCTTTCTCCTGTTGCCACCACCAATGAAACAGCCCTGCCAGAGTAGCCAGTGCTATAACTGATAGCATCAATCACATAGTTGCAGCCAAAATCAATCATGTAATTGTAGCCAAATGCAATGAAGCAAAGGAGAAATTGCAGGGTTTTGAGGTCCAGTAATTATGAGCAAATTTAAGACTCTTGGGCAAGATAATTTCCTCAGACAAGCAGCTCTAGTCCAAATCAAGTCCATAGGATACTCAACATTCTGTTATATTGCACTGTAAGGGTCATCAAAATATCCCTTTGGATATTTTGGATTATATTTTCCATAATCGCTAGCCAGCATGGCTGATTGTCTGGGATTATGGGAGCTGCTGTTCAAAGCATAGTGGAGGACACTGTTTGCTCTCTTTACATCCCTTTACTCTCTCCTGATGAATGGGTGTTTCAGTCAAACATATGAACATATACATCCCCTTCTAGTGCCTGTGAAATGTAAAACTCTCCCCATGCAATTTCTGCTGATAATCATAATGAACTCTAAAATTACAATGTGCATAATAAAAGTTGGATATTGTACACAAAATATACCATTAAAGAAGAAATGGAATAAAGGTTAGAGTATCAACGGATATTTAATGATACCTGATCTTTTGTCCCATAGGGAATTGAATATTGCTTTCCCGAGAGCATGTGAATCCTCCTTGCTTTCATAGGGATGCCTTTAGACAGAATCTGAAATCCAGTGAAAATGTTAAAGTGTTGCTGTTTTTAGATAACACAATCAGATAACACTAAGACGGACCAGTAACCCAGCTATCCCCTTTCCACTCTAGTCTACCCAGTAGAGGAGAAAAGGGGGCAGAGGGAAGTCAGTCATTAATTACAGCAAGAAACCAGCAAGAGATATAAGCTCTGTATAGCAGAAATCAGAGTAGGCATAACACTAATTTATCAGGCCAATACAACTTCCAGTGCAATTGTCAGTTTCCATTTCATTTCCATGCATGCCATGCTGAGTTTCTTGGTAAAGTGCAATGTATACTTTTCACTTTTCACATTACACAACCTCAATATTATTCTGTAAGTATTATTCTGGGGGTGGTTTATATAAAATAATTTTGGAGTGTAGGAGTCACCATATGAACTCATCTTAAGTCCTGTTAAACCAAATCATCTACTCTATTATCTATATTAGTTTTTGATGCCTTAGAACAAAAGTCATTCCTAACCAAGGAATTAACCCCTTTTTGTATGCAAAGCATGTACCCTACCTGCAATCAATGGCCCTTGTGCACGTTTTAAGCTTCTGGTTGGAGTAAGTAGGCGTTCCATAGGTTACACATATTGTTACTTCCCCATCACTAATATTTAGTACTTGCTGGCCTGATAATTAAAACATCCCTGTCAAATGCATTTTCCAGCCTTTAGCTTTTGCTTGAGAACAGATGAGAAAGGACATTAAATAGCTCTTTATAAGCTTGCTGAATTACTTCTTAAAGTATTTGGATTACCTAGAAATCCAGTAATACACACTGAACATAAAAACTCATTTAAATGTATTATAAAAGTCCAGCACCTGATCTTCCATTCCAACAGCTTTGAGAGCCTGCCGTCCCCTATGTGACAGGGCCAGATTAATGCTCCTGCCACAAGTTGTGTTGGAACCACGGATATCTGAAATGAAATGACGTACCATTTTGTGCATTAAGGTGTTGTCATGAATGACTACGGAAATTTAGAAAATGTTTAACATTCTTTACTGCTCTTAAATCTTTCACAGCACTGATTTGTGTGAGGCTGCAGACAGGCAACATATTTTCCAGGGTAGGTCATATGATTATGAACAGCTGAGCAACCACTGCTATCATCTCTCCTTCACAGCATTTGAAGTAAACACATACCCAGCTAGGATCATCTCTTAGTAACAGAACATTAGAGATGGAAGCCACTGGCACTCAGGTATCCCACATAGACCCCTTCTCTTTCCTTTGTAGGGAGGGGTGATAGAAGCCTTCCAGGAAAATGGAAGACTTTTGCTACATACACTCTCCCTCCTGTCATCTACACATACCACCACCTCACACTTTCTTCTGAGGCCAGTTCACTTCTGGTATCAGAGCTGGACTAAGAAAAAAACAGTTTGAGGTGAAAACCTTTGATGGGTAAAATGGGGCAGGGAGGTGGGAGAGAAATCATCTGTTCTTATCCGTGTGCTTCTTTTGACATTAAAATTACACACTACCTTGCTTTATACATGCATGAGCCAGATGAGTGAGCAAAAATGTGGTTATAACCAGCACATCTAGTGAAGCCTAGAATGATAATACCTCTGTAATAACATAGACACATGGCTGTTAATTAATAAAATAGGCTTGAAATATTGAAGACTTATTCTCTGTTGCTGGATGTTTGTCACAGAGGCAACTTGTAGCTTGGAAACAATATGTACTCTTACTGCAAGTATAACTACACACACAGAATAGGTTACTCCTCCACCTAGGAAAAAGAAACCAAATGCATCGATCCAAGATGAGGAATACATGGCTCAACACAACTGAAAAAGAAAAAAAGTCTCAGAATAATTCTGGACAATAGGCTAAATATGAGCCAACAATGTGATTCATCTGTAAAAAGGACAAATGCTATTTTGGAATGCATTAACAGAAGTATTACTTTCAGATGATAAGAAGTAGTACCCCTATACACCTCATTCATCAGACCACATCTGGAATATTGTGTCCAGTTCTGGGCACCAAGATTTAAGAAAGATGTAGAAAAATTAGAAAGGTCAAGAGGAGGGCAACAAAAATGATCCAGGGTTTGGAAATACTGCCCTATGAGGAGAGACTGAGAGAACTGGGTATGTTCAGCCTTGAGAAGAGAAGACTGAGGGGGGACATGGTATCACTCTATAAGAACCTCAAAGCCTGTCACAAAGAGGAAGATTGAGCTCTCTTCTTGCTGATACCAGAGTGTAGGACATGGAATAATTAACTCAAGTTATGACAATCCAGATTCAGTCTAGATATCAGGAAAAGTTTCCTCACTGTCAGACCAATATTACAGTGGAGCCAGTTTCCAAGAGAGATGGTGGGCTCTCCCACACTAGAGATATTCAAGAGGAAACTGGACAGTCTTCTGAGTGGGATGGTATAAATTGGTATCCTGCAACAGCAGGGGGTTGGACTGATGGCCTTTATGACCCCTTCCAACTCTACTATTCTATGATTCTATGCTATAGTTGTAAAATTATATAAACCATATGTTGTATCCACATATCCATGCATGCAAGCCCCACAGAAATCAATGAGAGTTGTATGAAAACATGCAGGATAGGAATTCAATTTAACAAAAATCAACATACCAGGTCTGCTTTCATATATTTCCACCAAGAAACCCCTTCTTGCAAAGAAACAAGCATTTAAAGACCCCACCTGTAATAAAAGCATTAGAGGGATTTTAGAGTTGAAAAGTTGTTTATAAGAGATTTGGAAAGAATGCATATTTCTAAAATGAGCAACACACCCGAAGCATTTTCAGTGTGGGGAGGAGAAACAAATAATGCATAATGTAATGGATGTAGTACTGGCCAACAGAACTCTTACATCAGTATGAGTGCAGGTTATATATCAAGTTGTTGCACAATACAGAATAAATCAGAGAGCTGAACGGTGTAGACTTTGCAAAATGTAATAAATTGAAATACAGTCCTTGTGTCAATTTCCAAAGAATTCTGAATGACACACTGTTGCTGTTGATATACAAGGCAACCTTGTCTCATTCATGGAACTTTATGAGGAGTCCACATGATATCATCCTGCTCATGTAATCCTCCCTTGCTTTGCCCTAGCTTCTCCCCTTTCTTTTAATACAGAAGAACTGTTAAGTAGGGAAAGAGTGAAATAGATAGACTATGATCAGAGAGGCTTGTTCCTCTGTATCATGACTTTCTTTTCCAGTTGCAGAATCACTTCATGAGCTGCAGGGCAACTTCTCAAAAGAGCTTTTGGTTTTTTTCCCTTATAAATCCTTTCTTTATAAGAAAGGATTCAAAAGCATTGACTTCTGCCTCTCCTTTCCTGGCTTTCAAGAATGTCTTAATGGATTCTTTCACTCTTGGATTGAGCTTTGTTCTGTCCACCCACTAACTGCAATTAGCTACTTAATTCTGCAATGCTATTTTCCTTCTGTATTTTAACTGATCCGGTACTTGTGCAATTTTGAGACCTACCATGTGGCAACAATGCACAGTGAGTACTAAAGTGCAGGGAAACATTACCTACCCCAGTTGTTTCTCAGAGTTACATGCATTTATTTTAATTCTCAGATTACTTTTTCTATCTATCTCTAGACGTTAAGCATGTATCGACATCTTCTAAAAGTTACACAAACAACTACACTGCATTGTTTACATTGAATAGCAAATTCATTCAGAAAGGTTCATGGAGCAAAGTCCTTTCAGTACCTACAAAATTCCAGTTCTTCATACAGCTAAGTTTCTTCCCAAGTCATTTTACATGCAAAGAAATTGCATCAATAAAAAGTACATTTTATTCTAGTCATTTTCAAAACTTCCTGTCCTTTAGGAAGCTGCAAAACTGTAGTGCTCCACCCAGGAAACAGGATCCCTGCGCATTGCAAAAATGGTGAGGTAGATTCTTGGGGGTATTCTCAGTTTGGGCAAGGTTTTGGCCAGGACTATTGGTTCTGATGACCTCCCTTGCAACCAAAAGTTCACCCTAAAATGCATTAAGTACTTCTCAAGAACTGCAAATTTCTGAGGAAAATTCCTATAAAAACAGCTTAAGAAATACTAATGTAGCTTTCTAGTTCATAAATGCAATGGATCAATGGAGCAATAAATAAGATTTATTTATCTTATATTTATCTTTATCATATAAAGATTCATATAAAGATTTATTTATCTTTATCATATAAAGATTCAGCTAAAAGAAGGGAAAAATCTGAATTCAAGCATGAGTGTGATTCCTTGAAATCAGAGAAAGTATAGTTATCATTTATACAGAGTTTTTACATTTCTAGCTGAGACATAGTTGAGTGCTAAAATGTTAAGCACCCAGGTCTGAAGACATAGTTACAGCACCTTCTGTTTTACTGCCCATTATCAAGCTATGATATGAGTATGAAAAACAGACCAATGGATTGCCTATCAATAATAATAAGAGAATGAAATTTATTTTTCTTACCAAGCCTCCCCCAATAATAGCTACTTTTTTCCTCTGTGTATCAGAAGGATCCATGACTTCAGTGTCTCTTCTTACACCAGGCAAAGAAGGTATGTATGTTTTTCTTGCTCAATTGGAAATGTTTGCAGCAGGAGGAGGAATAGGTGGTCCACTCAGGTTCTATGGTCATTGGTTGGCAACAATAGAATACATCTGAACACTTGAATAATTGAGTTGTCTCTAAAGTTAGTTATGCTTAAAATTGAGCCATTGAAATCAATGAGACTTTAGCTATGATTCAGTGGGTCTGCTCTAAGTCTGATTAAGTCTGGATCTAACTCATAATTTTTTTGTTTCCACTTACCTTACTGCATATTAGGTTATTCATTCGCTAGTATAATTGCAAGATAGAAGTTAAAATGTAATGAATGCACTAGATGCACTCAAAATGTTTACTTAGATGCATTCTAAACTCAAAGCTGCCAACTCATGCAGACAAAGTAAACACATCTTACAAGCTTATCCAATTTTATACTGTTTGCATTTTATAGCTTGTGAGTAGAAAATTCCATGAATTGAGAAAGCTGATGAATTATGACACATGCATGCACATATGCAGAGAGAAAAATTTAACAAACCTAGAGAAAATGAAAGTGTCTCTAGACTTCATTTTAATTTAATCCAGGACTTCATGTGAGAGGTGATTGCTGTTTAATCAATAGTAATCACACTACTATCATATTTAATTAATATTTAAGTGGGAAATTGCCAAGGAAGTCTAACACAGTCACATTAGAGTTCAAAAGAGAAAATATATCTAAAATGAGTAAATTCTTTAAAAGGATAGAAAGTCAAGAGTCAAATCTCTCTGAAATGCTTGAAAGTTATACAACATTACAATAATAGGAGGTCAGGTAGAACGTGTACCCCAGTTCAGGAAAGGTTGCATAAGGTACAACCGATCACCAGAATGGTTGCTGAGCCATATTAACAAAGCTAATAGAGAAAAGGCTTCCTTTAGAAACTGAAAGCCTTGCTCAAATAACCAAAAGGAACAGCAACTTGCATAAAGGAAATGCAACCACATAGTAAGGGGAGCATGTCATTAATAATATTAGGACTGACAATAATGAGTTGTCTAAATACAAGAGAAGTAAGAACTAGTTAGGGAAGCAGTTGGATGATAAAGGGTTACTAAATGAAGAGAAGACTAAGTTATTTCCATCTGTCTTCACTGCAGAAAATGTAGGGTTGACACATGTGCCTGAACTTATTTTCATGAAGGGAATCTAATTAATTGAAGTAAGTAGTGGTAAGAAGAGATGAAGCTATAGAACTAGTGTCCCCAATGCAGTATCCACAGGAATCTCCCTTGCCACCTGCTCCCTTTTTATGTTAGTTTTATTTTTCAGCTTTTAAATTAAGCTGGATGGCTGCCATGCTACAAAGTGAAGCTTCATCCTCTGGAGCTGTATTTATTTCCCAGCATGCTTCTGGTCCCCACATGGCAGTCTTTCATGAAATAGTAGAGGTGAAAAGTACCAGTAAGACCATCAGGACAATCAATGAATCTTTGAGCCTTATCAGTTTGGTTTCTAATAGGGGAAAAAAAGGTTCAAAAGAGTGGTTTGGAGTTTTGAAGGTCAGACTCCATCTCTGCCTTGAATTTAGGTTCTTCGGCAAGTTACTTATCTTTTGTCTGTCACAGTTTTGTCTCTTTTCCATATCTCTTCAGGTTTCTCTTTGGAAAACACAAACCCCTTAGGGTGTAATCCTATGGCTTCTTCATAGGAGACCAAAGGATTTTTTGGAATCTGCTTAGACTCTGAGGGCTCATCCCCCATTCCCCAATAACTGGAGATCACACCTGTACCTTGGAGAAGGAAAAAGGGGTGTGTCGGGAGAAGAGAAGGAGGCTGGTTGCACTGATTCCAGTCAGTGGCAGCCTCCTTTCCACGTCTGGTTTTGGCCATCTAGATAAAATAGAGGGAGGCTGCTGGACTTTGCATTTGTTTTTGATAAGACTGAATTCAGAGGCTTACAAGCATATACTATAGAAGCAATAAGACTTTGCCTTGGTCATTCCTTCAGCTTCTATCAGGCCTGGCACACAACACTTTAAACTAAACTAAAACACACAACTAAACTAAAACTTTAGTTATTCTACAGATAGTTACTGCTTCTTTCTCAGTCAAATAGAAACAGAGCGAGTCAGAAGGGGTCTCCCGGGCCATCTAGTCTGACCCCTGGCTCCAACCAGCTCTGCTCATGACATGCCCACCATGTGCATGTCCATATCTTTTACTCTTGGTCTTCTTTTACCTCAGGTGTTTATTCCTGAATTTTTCACTATCTCCTAAAAAATTTATTTAGCTTCCTTCTCTGTCATGACTCTTCTTCTTTCTCCTACCCTCCTCAACTACTTTGTCTTCCATTACTTGGGTAACATGCTCTCTTCCCCCATCCCCTGCTGTATCTAACTGATCATTTCATCTTCTACAGATCTTTAGCAAGGCAAATGATGGATTTAAAACAACCAAGGTAATCCAAGATGTGGTTGGACAGACATCTGTCAAGAATGCTTCAATCTTGCAATGAGTTAGGGGTTGAACCAGGGGTTGGATTTGATGGTCATATGGGCCCCTTCCAATTCTAAGATATGAGTCTATGATTGTGTCGTGCGGCTGTAACTCATGTCTCCAATTAACTCACACAGCAGTCAGCAATAAAACTAAATACTTTTATTGCTATTTGCTACAAGATTTACGATGCAACAGATAAGCTCTGGCGATGAGCTCCTTGCAGCTCAGTTGCCCCCTCCTTTCTGAACTCTGAGGGGAAGGTCATGTGGACCTCAATCTCCTCTCATGTCTTTCTGTCCGTGGGTGGGACAAATTTCTCTCCTGCCGTCCCAGTTGGTCTAACCACCGCAATCTCCTCCGGAGCTGGGCATTCCATAAATTTCCTGTTACGTCTTCCTGTTCTCCAGGACTCTGTCCAGGAGCTTCAGAGTCAGGAGGCGGGGGTAACTCGTTCAAACACCTCAGAGTCTAGAGGAAGGGAAGCTGCACCCTGCTCAAACAACTCAGAGCTAGGATGTGGGGAGGCTACTCGTTCAGAAGCCGGGCTGCAGAGGGGCCGTTTGGGCCCTGGGCACCAAGTATAAATCCCCTTGTTCCAAGGCCTGACTCTCACTGTGGGCTTCTGGCCCTCTCTCGTGTGCCAACGCCTCTGTCGAGCCGTAAGTCACGACAGTCTGGAAGAACCTTGGCCCCAAGGAAAGTACATATACAGTGGTACCTTGGATCACAAACTTAATCTGTTCTAGGACTCTGGTTGTGACCCTAATTGGTTGTGAGCCAAGTTAAATTTTCCCATAAGGTTCAATGTAAATAAGGTTAATCCGTTCTGTAACCATTTTTTTTTAATCAGAAAAATGTGAAGCAAAGTGACAAAGAACAAAAAAGATCGCAGCCATCTCCCCCTCCCCACCCTGAGCACAAGCGCAGCCATCTCCCCACACCCCCCAGCACAACCAAGATCGTGCCTATCATCCCTGCATGAGCCCGTCATCCCGGCGTGCTGGCGGGGGGAGGGGGGAGAGATGGTCATGATCGCGGCTGCGCTTGGGAAGAGAGAGATGGGCGTGATCTCAGTCATCTCCCCCCCCCCCCCCCCAGCATGATTGCGGCCATCCCCCCACTGGGGGGGGGGGGCGGTGAGATGGCTGCGATCATGCTGGTTGGGGGTGAGGGGATGGCCGAGATTGCACCTGTCTTTCCTGCAGGAGCATACCTGTGATCATGCACATCTTCCCTGCACAAATGCAACTGTGATCGTGGTGATCTCCCCACTTGGGGTGGGGGGGGGATGGCTGCGATCTTGGTTGCCACCCAATGCGGAGTTCGTGACCCATGTCAAAATGTTCATGAAATTTTTGTTCACGACCTGATTTGGTCATGAACCAAGGCGTTTGTGAGCCGAGGTACCACTGTAGTTGGATTGAGCAACTCAGAGGGTCTGGAGGATGTTGGGCACTTAATGGGGTGCTGCCTAGTCCAACCATTTCTTGAATGCCTCAAATGTGGGAGCACTGACCACCTCCCTACATAATTGATTCCATTACCTCACTTCTTTAAGAGTCAGGAAGTTCAAAAAATGAGATCAGATTAGAATCATAGAAAACTAACACTAGAAGGAGGGAAGGGGGCCATCAGGTCCAACCCCCTGCTCAGCACAGGAGGACAAATTAAACCATCCCTCTCAGATGGCTGTCCATCCTGATGCCTCTAGTGTGGGAGAGCCCACAACCTGCCTAGGTAATTGGTTCCATTGGTTTATTGCTCTAACAGTCAAGAAGTACTTTCTGATGATCAGCCAGAACCTGGCTTCCTGTAACCTGAACCCATTATTTCATATTCTGCACTCTGGGAGTGAAGAGATCCTGGCCTTCTTCCTTTGGACAATCTTCCAAGTACTTGTAGAATGCTGTCATATCTTCTCTCAATATTTTTTACTCAAGACTGCTAGATTAGAAATGGCCAAACACAGGAAGGAAGTGTACTCTCTGTTGAATCTGGGTACAAACGAGAATGTGATTAGCAGAAAAATAAATGAAAAAATGAGGCAAAGAAGAGGGCAATCAGGCTACACATTCAGTACCACTTAGTTCAATTTTATTAGTTATGCAAGAAACAGTGATCCTCCCCAAAACAGACCTCACATTCACATGGAAAGTTCCACTTGGTTGACTGACAATAAATGTCATATATATATAAATATATTATTGTGCCCTCCATTGTAGATATAATGAACACACACCTGTTCTTAAATAATTGTGAAATTCATTATACTAATTTTTATTCTGTTCGCTCAAATGTTTGAAATTGACTACATAAAGGTTTATACAATAAAATGTCTAAAAAATTGAGTTCAGAAACTGAACCTTCTGAGTTCAGAAGGTTCCTATGCTGTATTGTTTTTACAGCATTGGACTTTCCTTTCACTACCCCGTACATCTGCAACTGAGTGTCCTGTTGGCTTTGACCCAGTTGCTTAATTCTTTCTGGCGCTGCTAGTACTAGTCCTCT